ACCTGGGCGCGCGAGCCGCTGCTACCGCTTCGCGTTTAACGATTGGGGGACCTTATTGGCCCCGCACCAAAGGTCACCCCGGTGAAAGGTCATTCTTACGTCTAGTAGAACCTCATGTTCAACGCGATCATGGCGTCACGCTTGGTCTTGAATGTGACGAAACCGCAATTGGTGTTCACGGCCCTCGCGTGGCTGGACAAACACTTCACGGTCTTGCCGTCGCGGATGGTCTGGATCAGCGGCTCGGCCGAATCTTCCACGATGCGCTTCCGCTCCGCAAGCACGTGCTTCTCCACGACCTGGACTCTGCCCGCGTAGTGGTCCACCCTCTCCTCCATGTCCGGGTCCGCTTTGAGCTTGCCGCCCTCGAGAGCCAGGACGTGCCCCAAATGTCCAACAAACTCAAACTTGGAGCCTCCTCCGCGGAGGTCCCTCGATGTCTTCAGCGGTCTCTGGAGGCCCCTGGAGGCCTCCAGCGGCCCACATACGAACAAAAACGCTTCAAACAATAACCAGCCAAATTCAAAAAACATTCCTCCCTCCATCCCTCTACATCGGCCCAATGAAAGTTCCTTGAATTTTCATCACGACGCTGGCCTGCGGAAGTCGACGGAAGTAAAACGAGGCGGAAGACGGGGGAAGGCCGCTGGAAGGCTTGCCAATGTCAGCGGAATTCAACGACGCCCCTTCCGAACCCCCTACCCCCCGTAGAAACCTAGCAATGTTGTCTTCCTCCGTGGGCCGGGCGGGATCCCGCCTGGCGTATTCCGCTTTAATATTATAAGTTTAGTTCAGGACGATCAAAATCCCACCCACTAAAAATGGGGTAGACCAAAATCCCGGGTCGTTCACGGATCCCACCAAGCTGGGATCGGCTTGAAGTAAGATGGGGCTCATAAGTTGCAGTATTATTGCCGTGTTGGGGTCGTCTTGAGGTCATCTTGAGATCATATCCCGGTCATGTTTGGATCACGCAACCATCGCGTGGTCATTATGAGGCCACCCTGGGTGCGCTTGGACCCATCTTGTTGCCATCGGGCCATCTCGGCGTCGCGCGTTGCTCATGTGTTGCGTCATCTGCGAGTCGGCCTGAGACGGTCCAGAATCCATGGCGGGATCGCGATGGGGTGGCATCATCCTGGGTCCTCTGGACGTTATCGTCCGTGGCCTGAGGCATTCCTGGAAGCATGTTGTGGCCATGGGGCGTCTTGGGGTCGCGTGCGTGCGAACGCTGAGCACGCGCGCGCGACTTTTCATCTTGCCGACGGGTTTACATATTATTCCTCTTGCGAGTTTCCAAGGAAACTTTTGTTGGAGCCAAGTAGTTCGCCAAGCTTCGCTATCGCACCCCGCGATGCGCGACGCGCGGCTATACCCTCTACGTTCTCGCGCCGCTTCCCGCTGTCTTCGCGCCCCCACCCTCCAGCGAGCTCAATATTCCTTTCACCCTCACCCTCTCCTCGAGCTCACCGCTCGCGAGGCGCGCTCTCTCCAGCTGCTGTGCCCGCGCGTACTGCACCTGCTCCCAAAACTGGGAATTGATCTGCAACTGCTCCATCAAGTACTGCAGCCGCTCCGTGTGCTTGACGATGTAGGCCGACTCCACGGAGTCTCCAGGGAACAACCTCAGCGTTTTCCTCCTCCTGCTCCTGCTCCTCCTGCTCCCCAATCCTTCCTACTCCTCCCTGTCGCAGCCCCAGGCGTGTCGGTAGGGCGGGCCAGGCATTTCGCCTGAGACTTCTCCACCGTTTATGACATTGGAGCTTGAATTCTAAAACAGTTTCACGGATGGACGGCGGGTCGTTTTTAAAAGGTGGCTCTCGCATTGGCGCCGCGCACATCCGTCTCACAAGTTCGCAACAGTTTCACGGATAGAAGGCGGGTGCTTGTCAAACCGTCGCTCGCAACTTGGCCCCGCGCACATTCGTCGTACACATGGTAACGTTCTCAAGGATGGTGGGTTGGTCACTCTCGAAATGTAGTGTTCCCCTCAGCGCCGCGCGCATTCGTCTTAAACGCTTGAAGCAGCTTCAGGGATGGAGGGCGGCTCCTCTTCAACGTGTCACTCTCAGCTTAGCGCCGCACGCATTCGTCTCAAACGTTGGCAGCACTTTCCAGGATGCTTGAGCGCCGCTCACATTCGTTTGAAGTGCATGCAACGGTTTCGAGGACGGGCAAGGTTGAAGTCCCAGGAACGGTGTGCTGGCACAGATCAGGATTGCGTGGGCGCGATAATATGGTTGATTCGGTGTTGAAATCCCCAACATGTTGTTCTAGCACGGCTTAGGAACCTGTGAGCAGGGAATTTCAAGGGAGGGTTTACTGTAACGTCTTGGGTTTCCACTGGTCCTCTTCCTCTTCCTCCTCTTCCTCCTCCCCCTCCTCCCTCCTCCATCCTCCCTGCTTTTCACCGCGTTCCCGGCCGTAGTCCATGTCATCGTGCGCCTGAACATGTGGTGCACGTGTCTGGGTGCGGAAGCGGGCAAGTCCACCGGCATGGCGCCGTTGGCAACGCGGTGCCTGCAGAGCTCGTCCTTGCAGGGCTCCGCGGCGGAAGTCTTGACCCCGCCTCTTCCGCCTCCGCCTCCTCTGCGTCCTCGTCCTGCAGTGCAGCCTCCTCTGCAGCCAGCCTCTTCCGCATCGGCGGCGCCCTCGGGGTCGCGGCCGAATGCCTCATGGTTCGTCCCCATGATGGCGAACTTCCTCTGCCGCCTCTTCCAACTCGTCCACCGCCCTTCCTCCTCCTCCTCGGTCTCCTCCGCCTCCTCCTCCTCCTCCTCCTCCTCCGCCTCCTCCGCCTCCTCTTCCTCCTCCTCCTCCTCCTCCTCCTCCTCCTCCACCAGGCCGCCCCGCCCTCCTGCCGTATCCTCCTCCGCCTCCTCCTCCTCTGGCGCCTCCTCAAGGCCTCCCCAGGGACCCCCCGGCAAACCGCCTCCCCGCCTCCTCGCATCCTCCACTTGCCTGCCCGGTCGTCTCCTGGCCGCCGGACCCGCGGCCCGCATCCGCGCGGCAAGCCGGCTCCCCTCTTCGCCGCCGCCCTCCTCGACTCTCGCATCGCCGTTCTCCGCCGCCTCCTCCTCCTCCTCCTCCTCCACCTCCTCCTCCTCCTCCTCCTCCTCCTCCTCCTCCTTCCCCCGGGTTCCGTCTGCGCTCCTCAGTCGCCTCCTCGTGGTCTCGTCGTCGCCCCCTCCTCGCCCTCCTCGTTCGCCACGTCGTCCTCGCCTGCCGCCTGCACCGTCACTGCTGCGGCCAGGCGGGCCGCGGTCGCCCCTGGCCGCTGCTGCTGCAGCCGTTGCAGGATGGCTCGGAACTTCTCCTTGTGAAGAGAGACAAAGCGTCGCTGAGCCATCCTGTCCGCCGCGCTGGCGGCCTCCTCTGCGCGCGCGTCGGCCGCGCGCTTGGCCGGCGCAGCGAAGGCGCGTCGTGCCTCGCCGCCCCAGCTCTCGCCATGCGCTTCCACCGCCAGCGGGGCGAAGGCGATGTCGGCGCCGCGGCAGGCGTCATCGCCAAACCCATGGCGGCTGGGAGTCATCCCCGCCACTGGGGGACGTAGACGTCCGCAGGCTGGCGGCTGTCGTTGTCCAGGCCGTCGCCGCGCAGCTCCTCGGCGCTCGTCCCCTCGCCCTATACCCGCGGCGGCAACAGTCTGGGCCGTTCCAGCTCTGCCCCCGAGAAGCCGGCTGCCTGGGCGTCAATGAAAGCGCCGTTGCGGAGCTTGTCGTGGCGGCGCGTGCGGTTGCCGCGGCAAGCGCGCGTCAAAGCGTGATCGCCGAACGCGTCCATGACCTCTCCGCGCGCAGGGCACGAAGTCTCATCGTCCATCAGCTGGACCCAGATCCGCCGCTGGATCCCAATCTGCATGAGGCTGCGCGGGACCGCCGTGCCGACCGCCTCGCAGGGGGGCTCCTGCAGGTGCACGCTAGCGCCGGGCGCGGCCGCCAGGGCGATGTGCGCGCGCGGCGTGGTAGACCTTGTCCGAGAGAGCCTTCTGGTTGGAGTGCGTCTCGCTGTCGAAGCGGGGGGCGTGGCCCGCCTCCGTCGCGCTGGAGTTGCGGGCCTGGAACGCCGCGGCCAGGGCCCCGGCGTCGCCCGCGTCGTCGTCTGCGTAGCCTGCGTGCATGGCCCGGCAGAGCATGCTGCTCTTGGCGCGCGAGGAGGGTAAGCCCCTGGCGAGTGCTTCTCGGCGAATCGCAGCCCCAAGTTTTTTTTTTTTTTTTTTTTTTTTTTTTTTTTTTTGTTGTTGTTGTTGTTGTTGTTTTTTTGAGCTGCGCCTGGGCCCAGGAGTCGTCGGCGAGGGAGGCGCAGGCCAGCTGTTCCAGGCAGGAGCGGACCGCGGCATCCATCTCCAAGAGGGCCACGGTGTGGGCGGAGGGCGGAACCACGCGCGCTGAGTAGCCCAGCTTGCTATCGGATGCGCGCTACCGGCGCAGGTGGAGAGACACCTGTGCCTTCTCCGCGCCTCCCAGCTCGTCCAAGAGCCCCCGTGCCTTCTTGACATATTTCTGCGCGTGCTGGCAGCAGAAGTCGTCGCTCCCGGCGAGCGCGCCGAGGAGCTCGAAGCAGCTGACGGAGCGCAGTCTGAAGCCAGGCGAGAAGTTGGCAGCGGGCACATTGCTGTCTGCCCCCGTTGCAAGGACCACCTTGCACTTGCGCGGCCCCATGCTGAGGTCGAGGCCAACTGCTGCGAGCTCGGCCACGACGAGGTGTAGGAAGCGGGCCGCGGCCTGTCTGTCACAAGCCACGTAGAAGTAGGCGGGCTCCAGACTACCGTCCTGCGCGAGCTCCCCGAGGCTGCGGCGTGCCGTCTCTGCGCAGCGTTGGAGAGTCGGAGAGATGAGCAGCGGGTCGAGCTGATCGCCCTGCCGGACACCGCACTCGGAGCGAAAAGTCTGCTTGCCGAGGAAGAGTAGCGAGGGGCTGCCGCAGCGCGCCCGCGGTGCCAGCGCTGGGAAATCTTCGTGCGCTGTTCTGAGGACTGCGCTCTAGTCCACGGTGTTGAACGCTTTTGGGAGGTCCAGCTTTACGAACGCTTTGTCCCTGTTGCCCTGGAGGCGCGTGAACCGCTGCCTGGCCACGTGGACGGCCGCCTCCGCGCCTCCTCCCAGGACCGCTGCGCCGACCTGGAGCGGCGCCAGGCAGTCGCGGGTGGCCTCGTCGACTTCTTTGTAGAAGCAGATGCCCACCGAATGGCGGAGTGTCTCGCCGACGGCCGCCGGGCAGAGGCCGCCGTCTCTCTTCGGGGGGGCCACCTGCGAGGCGCCAGCAAAGAACGCCGCGACCGTCGGCGGGGCCTGGCCGCGCGCGAGCACGTTGACGAGGCCCGCAAGCTGCTCGGCGATCTCGTCCCGGTGGGCCGCCGTCGCCGGGGCACCCTGCAAGTGTTGCGGGCGCAGGCCTGTGGGGCCTGCCGTTGAGGTTTTTGGGGCGGCCCGCGCTTCTTCTCGGGGCGACGGATACGTCGACCTGGGCAGCGGCCGTCGCGTGGACCGCAGACAGGCTGGCCCAGTCCACCAGTTGCTGGTTGGGCAGGTTTTCGCGGCGCATCTGGCACGCGACGGCTGGCGTGACGGACGTGGGCGGCTCCGACGTCAGCGACGCGCAACTTTTCGAATAGAGCCTCTGAGGCCATGTCAAGGCAGCGCTGTGCTCGGTGAGTCGTCTTGTCCGCTCCCCCGACCTGGCGCCGCTCTGTTCTCTGCTCGATTCGTCTGGCGCTCTCCCTGCAGCCAACGGCGGCAGAGGCTCTTCGCTTCCTGCTCGCTTGCGTTATGGCTGCCTCGGCCTCCACGGCTGTGTGGGCGCAGCACACATTTGGCCAGCGTGGCCACCTGGACCCAAGCTGCCTCGGTGTTCTGGGGGATCGCCAGCGCCACGGCCTGCACCAAACACTGCCCACAGATTGCCCTGGCCCCCCTTGACACGTGGCGCCTCGTGCCGGCGCAGCTGGAAAGACGACCCGCAATGAAGGGAAGTCCTGGTTGGCTGGCCGCGTCGCCAGCGTTAGCCGGAAGGGCCTGAAGAGCCGCGGCGGCAGCTGCGCGCGCTCCTGACCGGCACGGGGGCTCACTCCCTCGCCGAGGAGGCTCAGAAACCGCTGACAAGCCGAGCGCTGACCGAGGGCGGCGGCTCAGGTACGCCTGCGGGGCGGGCGGCAAGTTGGGGAAGCGGCCCGCCGCGTGCTCGTTCAAGTGTACCCTCATGCTCTTCTGGCTGGACCACCCGGCCGTCGCGGTGGGATCGGCGCGCGGGCAGCCGTGCACCGCAGGGCGTGGCGCGGCGGGAGCTAGCGGCGGCAGCGGCTGGCGGCTGGCGGCGGCAAGGCGGCAGCGGCCGGCTCCGTCGCTGGCCCGGGTGCATCCTCTGGCGGCATGGCCAGAGGCTGGGCGCCTGCACAGGCAGCTTCCTCCAGCGCTGCTCGCTGGCGGCGTTCGGCGGGCGGCACGCCCGCGTCCCCCTCCATGTCGTTTGTGTCGTCGAGGCGCATGCTGGTGAATCGCTCGTGCAAGAGGGGATCATCGCTGGGCTCGCCCCTCTCGGTGCGATTGCGCCTGAACGCGCGGCGGCCCGGCGAGGCACTTGCACCGACCTCCACGAAGGTGTTCCTGACGGATACGTCGGATTCCCTCTGCGCTGGGCCCGCGCTCGATGACTCGCCATCACTGGCGGTGGAGCCAGGGCCACCTGCACGGAGCGTCGAGGCGAGCGGTCTCCCTCCTCCCTGTTCCCTCCTCCTCCCTCCTCCTCGCTCCCTCCTCCTCCATTCCTTCTCCTTATAAGTAACTCCTCCCTGTCGCACCCCGAAGCTAGTTTTTAGGGCGGGCCGGGCGTTTCGCCTGAGACTTCCTGACCACTTGTGACTCTGAAGCTTAAAAGTGACAACTGTTTCACATATGGAGGGCGGGCCGTTTTCAAAATGTGGCTCTCGCCTTAGCTCCGCGCACATTCGTCTTCAAAAATTACAAGAGTTTAACGGATTGAGGGCGGGCCGTTTTCAAAATGTGGCTCTCGCCTTAGCGCCGCGCGCATTCGTTTTAAACATTGCAAGAGTTTCACGGATTGAGGGCGGGTCGTTTTCAACATGTGGCTCTCGCCTTAGCGCCGCGCACATTCGTTTTAAACATTTGCAAGGGTTTCACGGATTGAGAGTGGGTCGCTTTCAAAATGTGGCTCTCGCTTTAGCGCCGCGCATACTCGTCTTAAACATTTGCAGAAGTTTCACGGATCGAAGGCGGTTCCTTTTCAAAATATGGCTCTCGCCTCGGCGCCGCGCACATTAGTTTTTTTTGTTTGTTTCCCTTCTTAAAACGCATATGATTCGTATGCTTATTATTGCTATTAGTTAGTTTTGTACTTTTTATTATTACTACTATATCTATGCAAGGCTTCGACGGATGCCCATGATCAGCGCACCAGGAATTGTGTATGGGAAGGATTTGTGATTATGCGGGCGCAACAATTATGTTGCTTCGCTATGTTGAGGTCCCAAAAACGGCGTTCTGGCACGATTCTGGATCGTCAAGACGCAGCAGTCAGGTTAATACGTGGCGTTGAAATCCCGAGAACAATGTTTTGGCACCCTTCAGGATCTTCAAACTGTTGTCTTCCAACGAGGCAGTTCCCTCAATGGAAATAAACCGTTGTACGGGCCGATGAAGAGAGAGCTTGGAGGGAGGGTTAATTCCCGCATCGTTGATGACTCTTGGGTTTCCACTGGTCCTCCTCCTCCTCCTCCTCCTCCTCCTCCTCCTCCTCCCTCCTCCTCCTCCTCCTCCTCCTGCTCCTCCTCCCCTTCCTTCTCCTCCTGGGGGGAGCGGCGGCAGAGGCCTGCTGAAGTAGGCCTTGAGCTCCGCGTCGGAACAGCTCTCCTCGGGGACCGCCTCCACCAGAAGGGTCGAGGACCTGCCGGGAGGAGGAGGAGGAGGAGGAGGAGGAGGAGGAGGGGGAGGAGAGGGAGGAGGAGGAGGAGGAGGAGGAGGAGGAGGAGGAGGAGAAGGAGGAGGGAGGGGAGGGTAGAGGAGGAGCGAGAAGGAGGACAGGCTAATCCCACCGGCCCTCTGGGCGTGAGTGGTTTAAGGAATCTCCCTCTTCCCATTCCCTATTGAAACACACCCCTTCCTTCAGGCGACCAGCAGCCAACCAGGACCAATGCCCCCCCAATCCCTCAAAAAACAAGGCGAAGCACACCTTGGGGCAAAATCTTGGGTCCAGGTCGCGGGCTCTGTGAGCACTTTGCATTGTTTTTTGACCGGGACGGCGGGGTATCTTCATATTGCCTGCCTTGCGTGCGGCCACAACCCCCGTCAACAAAAACAATGTACCATGCACTTTGCGGCTAAATCTGGAACGTGCGCGGCCAACCCACGATCACTGTCCATTGGTGTTTGACGAGGACCGTGGGTGTGCTGGCATAGTGCCTACTGTGTGCAGGCCCACTATACACCATGATGGCCTCCCCGTCGCGATTGCGCACTGGTTTTTGACAAGGATGGTGGGGGCCGACATGTTTCCCGATGTGTGCTGTCACGTGCGCGGGCGCACCTGGCACACTCTGCGCGTGCCCTGGACGTGTCGCACCTGGCGCGGCTGGACAATGCGGCACACATGGCGCACGTGGAGCACGTGGCGCATCTGGCGCGCAAGGCGTGCCTGGCACGCTTGGGCCCCAGAGGTGCCTAGCGCACCTGGAGCGCCTGGCACGCGTGGCGCACTTCCCCATCGCGCACATGGGGCTTGTATTGGTTCCCAGTAGCTGCCCAGCGATAGACGACTGTTGAACATGCTGAGGCCCTGGTGCTACTTTATGTGTTGGGAGGGCGGGTGGGAGTGAGCGAGACAGCTTGCGGGCGGGGAGGGTGTCTTGATCCCTCCCACTACCCCCTCCCACTGGACCTGGACGTGGGATTCCGTGGGTCGTTGGGGCGTCCAAGGTGGCCTCGGCGAGAAGGCAAACATCGCTTAGGTTTTGGGCATATTTTGGCCTCCTGGGGGGGGGCGCTAATATGGTACCCCCCCTTCTTTGATCGAATTCCTCCAAGGTGGCCCCAAGACGGCCCCCAACGCTCCCAAGAGTGCTCCAAGAGGCGCCCAGAAGGCCCCAAGAGGCCCCCAGGAGGTCGCCAAGAGGCTCCCAAGTGACCCCCAAGAGGCTCCCCCAAGGCATCCAAAACGCTTCAAGAGGCCTCGGGGACAGCAGCGATGCCCCCAAGATGCGCCAAGAGTACTCCAAGAAGCTCTCGAGAGACATCCAACAGCCCTCTGGGCGCGAATGGCTTAGCGAGTCTCCTTTTCCATCTTCCGTCTTCTCCTTCGGGGAGGGCTTTACCCCTCCCCCTACTTCCTCCACTGGACCTGGCTGGACCGATTGGGGCGTCCAAGATAGCCTCAGATGGCTCCACGAGGGCCTCAGAGAGTCCACGATGACCATCAAGATGGCTCAAGACAACTCAGGATGGCTTTCAACACGCTCCGAGAGGCCCCAAGACCGCCCCAACACGGCTTCAAGTGTCCACGGCGCACCCCCAAGAGGGTCACGAAGAGCCGAGTATCCTTCCAAAACCTTAGGATCATTCATGCTTTTCGCTATCTCGCTTTTTCGCTTCCGACGGCCGTCCGAGGCCTCAAGACGGCTCCAAGAAGGCCCACGAGAACTCCAAGAGACGCCCAAGAGGACCCGAAGACGGCCCCCAGAGCGCCCAAGAGCGCCCCAAGAGCGTTCCAAGAGCAGTCCGACAGTAGAGGCGACAGGACCGTCCGAGGTGGCATTCGATGGTTCCAAGAAAGCCTCAGAGGAGTCCAGTATGATTGTCGGCTACACGCAAGAGTGACCCTAGGCAAGAGTGACCTGTGCGCGGACTCAAAGGGCGCAATGTTGCCAAATCCAAGCGCCTAAACAGCCGCAATCGCATCGCGCTCAACGGTCAGGGGGATACCGACGAGCCCGCACCAAAGGTCACTCCGGCCAAGGGTCACTCTTACGTGTAGTCGAGACTTAGATGATCGCTCAAGAGGTCCGGCAAGGGCTCAACATGGCTTCTCACGTGCTCCGAGAGGCTCGGAGGCCGCCCCAAGACGGGTCCAAATGGCCACGTAGCTCCCTAAACAAGCCGCCATGAAGCCCAATTTCTTTAAACACCGTCAGGCCCTATACGAGGCAGGCGATATACAGGGCATGTCATGTCTAAAACATGTCATGTGCCACCATTGCCACACACAGGACATGTCATATACGAGGCAGGTCATACACAACGAAGTTCATATACACACCATATCATATACAGTCCATGCCACAACCAACAAACGTCGTACACGAGGCAGGCCACATACAAAGTCATGCCACTTGCTACCGAGGCCATACAGGATGCAGACTATAGACACTACGTGCCATATACAACGCATGCAGAACACCTCCAACGTCACATACACCACAAGCTATATACGGGGCTGGTCATGTACAACACAGACCATGCACATACTATACCATACACACGACTTGCCATTCCCACCAGCCCTTTACACCAGCCCTTCAGCGCGTGAGTGGCTTGGAGCGTTTCCTCTTCCAACCCCACTTCTTCCCCTTCGGGGAGGGGTTTACCCCTCCCCCTGGACCTGGATGGGACGTTTCGCGAGGGGTTAGAGCGTCCAAGATGGCCCCAGCGAGAAGGCCAAACTCATTGATTCTACCAAGGTTTTGGGCATATTTTGGCCTCCTTGGGGGGGACGCTAATTTTACCCCCCTTCTTTGATCGATCACCTCTAAGATGGCTCCAAAATGGTCCCGGAGGCTCCCAAGAGTGCCCCAAGAGGCGCCCAGGAGGCCCCAAGAGGCCCCCAAGATGTCCACAAACGGCCCCCAAGAGACCCCCCAAGAGACTTCCCCGAGGCACCCAAGACGGTCCAAGAGCTCCCCAGGACCGCCACGAGGCCTCCACGACGCCCCAATAGGCTTACAATAAGCTCTCGAGAAATATCCGAAGAGACTCCGATCCAAGAGGCCTCTGGCCTTTCTGTTCGCCCACCTCGTCGTCCTCTTCCTCATCCGCCTAATCCTCCTCCTCCTCCCCTCTCCCTTGTCCCTTCTCCCTTCACCCCCTCCCCCTACCCTCCTCCTCTTCCTCCTCCTTCCCCTCTTTCTCCTCCTCCTCCTCCTCCTCCCCCTCTTCCTCCTCCTCTGGCTCCTCCACCATGCTCCCCCTCTTGGGGTATGATGGCTTCCCAGCCTTTCGTGCACTGCGTGCTCCCCCACATGCCTGATCAGGGCAACTCGCCTGGGCATCGTTTCTGCATTGGCTGGTGGGGCTTATTTTTTGATCGCGACCGCGGCGAAGAAAAGGTCGGGCGGCGTCCAGGGAACTGCAGATTAGCAACGGCCTAAATTAGCGCAGAGGAAAAGGAAGGGCGAAAAGAAAGCAAGACCAAACAGGGGAAGAGGCTAACAAGAGGCGAGCCTCGCTGCCGCTCGGTGGAGAGCTGGTGTTTTTTTTGTTTGTCGCAGCCGCAGGCGAAGGCGCCGGCGGCGTTACAGGTCGGCTTGGGCTGCGAGCAGAACTAATTGCCTAGCGCGCAGGAGAAATTGGTGGGGCTTACCTTTTGGTCGACAGGCTCGCGAGGCGGGTCGAAAACCGTCCGAACACTAGTCGGGCCGCGACTAGGCAGCAGGAAAAGAAAGGCAAGCGAAGCGAGCGAGCGGGCAGCCACTCAGAAGGAGAGCCAAAATTGATACTCCCAAGCCTGGTGGCGTTGGAAATCCCGGTGGCGCTGGTGGGGCTAATTCTTTTTGGGTCTGCGGCCGCGCGACAACGGTCTGGCGGCGAGAGGCAATGTCCGGGGCGGGCGGCACAAAGCGAATTGGCGACCCCAACCGCCACGTTGGCAGGCCGGATCGCACCTGCACAACAAGCGTGCAGTTGCACATGCACTGAACAAAATGCTCTGCATTCACCAGCAGGCGCACCTAGGCGCCGCCCAATATACCAAAGTGTACAAGCGGCCGCGGGTGCGAGTGCAACGGAGTGAATCGCCCGTGCGGCGCCAAACTCCAAGCAGCCAGCCCGGCTAGCTAAGAAGCACGAGCCCGGGAAACCGGGCTGCCGGCGGTGGAAAACAAGAGGCAAAAGACGTGGAAGGCTGAACCACTCAGCGCGCAGCCCTCGAACTCCACCGCTGAGTTGAAGGGGCCAGCGGCACCCATCGTATCGAGTCCGGCGCCTGCGTCGAGTGGCCTGGGGTGGTTAGTGGGGCATACGCGAAGCGTCTAGAATTAGGTTGACGGCCTGGGGGAGGAGCGTTGGGGACCAGCCCAACTGCTCTCACAATTTGGCCCGGAACTGCCAACTCAAGAAAGGATGATCACGCAAGGCGGTTCGACGGCCCACAGCGGTTGGGCCAGTCGTGTTTTGCCAAGGGAGTTCGGCATCGACGAACCCTTCCGCGGAGTTCAATGCAGCTCAATGCTAGATCCGCGCGCCATATCCGACATCCTACCCCTCCCACCCATCCATTACCATTGCCTTGTTTTTCTCTGCCCGCCGATGGGTGTCCTAGCGGATCTGGATCCCCCAAATGATCTGCATGTTGTGCTGCACTATCGAACGAGGGACCTGTGTACATTGGAAGAGGAGGTGGCGGATGAGCAAGAGGATGAACAGGAGGATGAGGAGAAGGACGCGGAAGGAAGAGGAGGATGGGCAGGATCAGTGGCTGCATGAGCATGAGAAGCGGGAGGAAAAGGATAACCAGGGGAATGCGGAGGAAAGGAAAGGAAGGGGACGTCAACGACGAGGAGCGACTCGGATCCTGAACGTGCTCCGCGCTATGGGGATTTCGCCGTCCTGACCAATTTCGCGCTGCGGAGATTTCGCTGTGACGACGGGAACAGCGCGCCGATCCTGAAATGAGGCCAGCGCTGCAGCGGGAACACCAAACGGGTTCCCATGGGAGAAGCACACATCACACATCCACTTTTGAAATCCTCTGTGTGTGCGTCCCTCCTGCATGCTGGCCAATTCGCTTTCTGGTGCCCCCGTTTAGCTCTATTGCTGGTGCAACCATTCTGCCTCGCCGCCGACGGAAAAATAGTGTGTGTGTGTGTGTGTGTAACCCTCTCCGCCCTGCGGCCGTCTCGTCGCCTGTCCGCTGTCCGCTGCCCCGGCGCCCCGCCCCCGGCCACTGCCCCGTGAGGGGCAGCCGTCTCTTTCTTCTTTTGTTCTTCTCCTCGGCTGGCTGGGCTCTCGCGCGGCTCTCCGCGCGCGGGCTGGGCGGTGAGGAGGTGCTTCAGCCCGCGACGACCGAAGGTGTGTGTGTGTGTGTGTGTGTGCAAACCATCTATTCACGGGCGAAGCGGCGGCGGCCCGCTCGCGATGTACTCGGGGAGAGAGGATAGTGGTACCCGCGACAGGTAGATGTGGGGGAGGAGGATGGGACGGGGGGGGAGAGAGGATAAGGAGGGGGGGGAGACAAGAGGAGGAGGAGGAGGAGGAGAAGGAGGAGGAAGGCAGACGACCAGTGCAAACCCAAAGCGCACCAACGATGTTGCAATCCATCCTCCCTCTAAGTTCCCTCTTCAAAGGCCCCTACAATAATTCTTATTGCGGGAAGTGCCCCATTGGAAAACAACCGCCTTAGAACCCTCAATCGTGCCAAAACACCATTTCAAAGATTTCAGCGCCAAGAATCAGAGTGACCGGTGACAGTTGCGTCCTAGCAGTCCTAAGTCGTGTGTTGACACCGCTTCTGGGACTTCAGCACTCCGAATCAACAATCCTGTCCGTTCTGACATTCGTCAACCGTGCCAGTACACCACTCCTGGACTTCAGCCATACGACCCCTTGAGACAGCTGCATGTGTTTCACACGAATGTGCGCGGCGCTACTGCGAGAGCCACATCTTGAAAAGGAACCGCCCTCCATCCTGGAAGCTGGTAGGTTTTCAAACTTCAGGATCACACATGGTGAGGATGTCTCGTGCGAAACGCACGGCCCGCCCTACCGACATGTCTGGGGGCGGGACAGGGGGGAGCTCTGTATAAGGAAAACGGACGGAGCAGGAGAAAGACGGGGAGGAATAGAGAAGCAGGAATAGTAATATGAAGTGAACGGATGATGATCGGGAGGCGATGAGGGAGGAGAGAGGAGGGATGGAGGGGGATGTGGAGGGGTGGGGAGGTGGAGGAGCGGGCTGGGAAGATTGACAGACAAGGCGGTAGAGAGAGAGAGAGAGAGAGAGAGCGGACATTCAGGCCGAGGAGCATTAGCAGGGGAAGGATGAGCAGGAGGGGGAGGATGACGGCGGAGGAGGATGAGAGGAGGGGGAACAGCAGATGAAAGAGGAGAGATGCTGGAGGCGGGCCCCGAGCCTGGGCGGCTCCAGCTCCTTCAGCCAGCGGAAGCGCCTCTCCAAGAAGCTGCGCATCGTGCGGAAGATCAGCGCCTGCGTCCCGGCGACCACGTACCACACGATGCCCGAGTAGGCCCAGAAGAGCCAGTGGCCGTCCTCAGAGGAGCACAGCGCGACACAAGCTCAGTTAGAGCTATCCGAAGGAGCCCAGGGACACACACGCATACACACATGAATAGACACAAATCCCAGGATCCCCAATCTTTTCCATATTTTCGAGAGTTTCGTCTTCCCCCCCACTTCCCACATTTTCCCACATCCTCATGGGAATCTGCGATTATGAGGGTCTGTGTGTTTTCTCCCCTCCTGACTATCCCCATCCCCACTGGGAGCGCCTTGGCCCAGCTGTCTGGCCTACCCCCCTGGATGTGGACAGGTGCCCCCCCTGTGGGGCTTCGCTGCATCCGTCCCCACCTCGAGGTGGCAGGCCAGGGGGGGCTGAGGAACCCTGGCCCACGGGGGATGGGGATGCAGCCAAACCGTATCCTTGGGGCGAGCAGCCATCTGAGGGTATCCTCGCATCCTTGCGCATCGACCCATCCTAGGTCTGAGCTCTCAACCATTGCATGGGTCATGGGCTTCGAACTTCGGCTTCAATTTGGGCATCCAAGGGCCTTGACTCCTTGTGGCATCGCTTGGCGATGCTGATACGGCAAGTTCGTGCCGTGCCGACCCGGGCGTTGGTTTCTGATACTGCGGGGATCGTTCACCCTTGAGCGATCGGCCATGTCCGAGACGTCGGATCGATCAACGCATCGACCGATTCTGGGTCGCTGGCGGTGCTCAAAATTAGACGCCGGCGGCGCGGTCGCCGCCGATCGACACACCGCGAACCTACCGTGAGCATCAACTTTCTGGGGTCCGCAGGGATCTTGTTGGGGTTGGCGCTGGATCCCCCCCTCCCCCCCCGCCGCATCGCCCAGCGCGCTCCCAGGTGTGGGAAGGGTGGAGGGCGGACCGCCGACACAAGCACAAGAGCCGCGCGGGCCCCCTCGGGAGCGCATGCCCGTGCGGCTTCCCGCCTCTCCCGTCCTCGAGGTTGTTCATGTCGACCATGCTCAGGATGTCGTTCTCCACCCCGGCCTCGTGCGCTGCCAGAGGTGTCCCTGGCCCAGGGTGCCGCCAGGATTTCCAGGGACGCCTCCGCGGCCTCCAGAGTACCCCTCTGCGGAGCACCAGCGGGCTCCAGAAGAGAGCGCAGGCGCCAGTGGCCCTCCTGGGCCAGGGCCACCTCTTGCAACGTCCGACGGCCTGGCCCCGGCCGCAGAAGCGGTACAGCGGGCAGAGGACGAACAGCTGGGGCGCCCCCACGAGCGCCAGCGCCTTCATGCTGAACTGCAGGAACTCGATCATCATGGCAGCGTCCAGGCCGCTGGTGCGCTCGGCCTGGTCAATCGTGACGGACCAACCTCGAGGCGGGCGAGAAAAGGGGGGGGAATAGCAAAGGGAGGGGGCTCAGGAATCGGCTCATGCAACTGGTTTCCCTGGCGCCTCCCGGCGCCAGATGCGGCCGTGCATCGAGGAATGCGCCCGTCGGCGAGGCCGAAGCCGGCCGCACGCAGCGACTTTCGCACCCCTCCGCTTCCCCAATAACCCCCCTCGTCGTCCGACCCGACAGCCGGCTGCCACCCAACCGAGCAAGCTGAGGGACGGCTTGAAGGGCGCAGTGCCGTACCCGTCCTCCGCAGGTTCCCGCACGTTGTTGGCATAGACCTCCGGATACTGGAGGCGGAGCCCGCTGAACGCCATCAGGCAACCGACCAGTACTGCGCAATTCGTGACCAAAGCGCTCTTGAACACTGGTAGGTCGCCCTTATCGTTGAGCTTCAAGCCTACGCTTTTCAGCTTGTCCAGCTCCGTGTCATCAGTGTTCCCCCTGAGGAACGGTATCGAGTCTGGGTCGCCCATAAGGCCGCTCATCGTCCTACCCCAGATGCCCTTTTGATTGGGCTTCTGAGAGCGCACATCAGCGTATGCCTGCGCGTCGGCTTCAACAGACCCGAAAATTTCTGACAGATTGAGGAACCTCCCGCCATCGTCACCTTCGCGGCGATTCAGCATGTCCACGTCGGTGCCTCTGTGGCCGGCGGAAGAAAAACCAGCGTTGGCCTCCTCCTGCTTCCACCTCTCCTTCTCCAATCTTCTCCTCCCGCTCGTCCTCCTGCACGCTCTCACAACCTGGCGCCCCTCACTCTGTGCAGTGGGAGCACACGCCACCGTACCGTCGGAACGCTGGGACGTGTTAGAATGTTTGTTAGCAGTCTAGTAGGCTTTCTGGAGTTTTCTAAAGGCGACCCTCTCCTCGTAGTGCGCCCTCCCCGCTCCCGAAAATCGCCATCCCAATTTTGCTCTCTGGCGCCCTCTTCGGCTTGTGGACGTCTCCGAGATGGCGAAATACCGTCCCAAGACGGCCGCAAGAAGCCACAAAACCATCCCAGTACGTCTCATCGACCCGAGGACCCCCTGAAAAATCCCCCCTATTCGAGCAGTCTTAACATGACGGTGGTGGTTGTGGTTGAACTCTTCTCACTTCAGAATACTTTTCGTACCCCCCCCCGCGGGTAACCGTTCCTTACTGCGATCAATCAATCTGCCAGTAAAGGTTCTTCCTGTGGCAACAGAAGGGGGACGCGTGGCTGGCCCGGGGTCTGTGACTTGAGTGGTCTCCGTGTGGTCTTCCGCCTGCTCTCCCCGGCGTGGTCTCCCTTCTGGTCTCCCGCTATGGTCTCCCCTATCGTCTCGAGACAATAAAGGGAGTCCGTACGGGATCCAATATGGTCTCCCGATGGGTTTCTCGTGTGGCTTCCCGGGTGAATTCCCGTAGGGTCTTCCGGGTGGTCTCCCGTCTGGTCTGTCGTACGCTCTCCCGCGTGGTCTCCCGTACAGTGGGGGTCGGTCCACAAGGAACCTTCCACAAGAAACCCAACCCTGAGACCCCAGGACGTCCATTGATTTTTGGCGTGGGAGCGTCACGCTGTCCATCGCAAAACCATCGAAACCCAATACACCAAGGGCACACTGGAGGCGAGGAAGGTGTTTCTTGGCATGGGTCTCCACTATATGGTCTCTGGTCTTAGTCTCCAGTATGGTCTAACAGTATACCGCGCAACTTACTGTTCCGTTCTGTTGTTGAAAGTCTTCTGCCGCCCGGGTGGGCTTCAATTGAAGTGCTACCAGACGCTCGTACCGTGCCTCGTTATCTGGGTAAGTCCAGAAACTCAAGCTATGCCCCTGGGCTCCGGGCAACAGCATCGGCTCCCGCCTGTTACCAGGAATCGCGCTCTCGCTCAGAACTTTCTCATACTGTATTCAGGAATCGCGCTCTCGCTGCTCAGGAATCGTGCTCTCGCTGGGGTCTTCCCTTCAATCTATTAACGAGTCGCGCGCTCGCCACTCATGAATTGCACTCTCCCCCACGACCTCCTTACAACGAACGTGGCAGTCTCGCTCTCGCGCGATACCTTCCCAAGATTCATCCAAACTTCGCGCTTCAGGGGCCCCGCCCACCCGACCCGTCGGCTAGGGTCCGCCCACCCGACCCGCCCGTTAGGGTCCGCCGGCCCGCCCCGCCTGTGAGGGTCCACCCCTGCCAAACAGGGTCCGGCCATTCCCTTGCTTTGAAGCCCACCCGACCTGTCCCGCATGCTAGCGTCTGCCTGTCCGACCCACCAGGCCCGCCCACACTATGGGTTCTTGTTGTTCGTAGGGCTACTCCGCCTCACCCCCACTCACTCACTCACTCCTGCCTGGTCCCTTGACACTCACACCCACATACTCAGACTCCCTCATACTCAGACTACACACGCTCAGATCCACTAGTACCCAGACACATGGATACATATACCTACTCGTGCCCAGACCCTTCACACTCATATCCACTCATACTCAGACTTCGTCTACTCAGACTCGTACGCGTAGACCACTCATGTTCTGACTGTGCACTTTCGCACTCAACCGGATTCATACTCAGCCCACCTCTGCCCATCATGTTCGAGCTCACTCATACCCGCTCCTCGCGCTTAGAGAGGCTCACTCATCATCACCGCGAGGTAGTAGGCACAACATGTTGGCTCCCGAAGGGGCGCCGCCAGGGGGTGCTACACTTGCTCTCTTTCGCGCCCCGTCTGCAGGGATGTCCAAAGCGGAGGACTCGCTTGCCCCCCCCCCCCCTGACTCCCTTTCAGAGCAGCAAGCGAAGCACCCGGGCACCCCCAAAGGGTAACCACCAGGGGGTGTCACAGTTGCCCGCTCGCGCCCAGATTGCGGGGATGCCGCGTGCGAAATTTTCGTTACCCCCCCCCCCCGATTCCTTTCCTGCCAGAGCCCCATGATCAGGGCGATGCAGGCATGCGTGGCACTGGGCCACCCCAAGGCGGGAGCCGCCAAGGGGTAGCTTTTCTTCGCCTAGGTTGTGGGCACGTCTCCAGCGAAACGCTGGTTTTGCCTCCCCTGGCTCCTCTCGCCCCCAGGGTCACCGCGATGTAGTAGGCATCTCGTTTTGGCCCCCCAAGGCGGGGCCGCCAGGGGATAGGACACCTGCCAGTTCGCGTCCAGATTCAGCCGAAATCAATCTCACTCACGCGCAGACTGGTTCATGCCAGACACTCATAGACATGGAACTTGCTTTAGCAGATATGCACGTACGGGGACCCCACGGCAAATACTTTTGCTTGTCTGCTTGTTCTTCTTCACCTGTTTCTTCCGAAACACAAGATCGCCCCGCCCCCAGACGCATTGGGCCCACAATGCGTCCATTTTGGCCACCGCCTGGCCTGGGCCTCCACCCTCCCCCTCCCCGTCCCTCCCCACCTCCACCTCCCTCCCTTACTTTCCCGCGCCCCGCGTCGTCCTCCCCCTCCTGCCGAATCCGGAAGCCGGTGGCGGTCTTGGTCGATCCTGACGCTCGTGTGCTTCCCCAGAGATTCGAGCAAGGGAGCTGGCACAGAATTCATGTACCCCAAGATTAATTTTCGTGTCGAACCGACGAAAGAAGCGCAGAAAACTGGTTGATCTACAGAACAATCTTCGCCCTCTTTTCGTATATCCGGCTGGAAAATCAATCTTAGGGTGAATCAGTTCTGTAATCGATCCCCTACTCGAGAGATGCGATGCCTGGATTTTTCCAGTGCGAGGTCCTTGAAGTCCCGACCCGTCACCCAGGGCCCTTCCTTCATCCCGAGTTGTTCTTTGACGGCCCAGCGAGGGCCCCCAGAGGCTGACAACGACCAGAAGCCTTGCGCTTTGATCTTTCACGACGCGGGCAAATCTGGGGGAGGACCCCAAGCACGCGCGGCCCTGCCCTGGGAGGTCCCGCTCTCCGCCCCGGATCCATTTTTGGTGGTCCTGGGACCCGACCCCTGGGAGCTGAAATCAAGGACAAACCGCCGGTTGAAACAAATTGGGGATCTACTGACCGGGGTCAATCCAAACCCAGGTCAGTCGGGCCTTGCAGAATCCGGAAAAATCCTGTAGGATCCTGCGCGCAGGCCTGGTTCAATGCACCCCTTGCTCTGCAGGATCCTGCAAGATTCCGCGCTCTGGCTGAACCCCGTTTGCATTGATTCCCGTCTCTTGAGCACCGAAAGAGTCATCACCCAGCCATTCCCTGGCAACCAGCCTGCCGGGCCATTCTGAAGGCACCCAGGGACACACACACACACAAGTAGACTCCAATCCCAAGATTCCCCATATTTCTCCATATCTTCTGGACGTTCGTCTCCCCCTCCACTTCCCATATTTCTCCTATTTTCTGGGGAATCGAGCGTTGTTTGTATCTGTTTTTCCCCTCCCGACATTCCCCGGCCACCAAACCCTGCCTTTCTGCGCCAGTTCTCGAGCCGGATCGATCTGTGGGGGTCCCAGGGCGAAAACTCCCAGCTCGAAAAATTTGGGTCGCCAGGACCTGAAGGGATTCTCGTCCCCTGAGCACCGACAAGAATCATCATCCTGGCACTCTCTCCGGCCACCAGCCCGCCGGGCCCCGAGTTTCTCACGGCCAGTGGGCCTCCCTCGGCGGTGTCCGCCCGCGCGGTGCCTCCTCGGAGGGTGCTCACCTCCGCCCCCTGCTGCACCAGCGCGGCACCTTCTGAAAGCCCGGGGCCCCCCAAGTGCCTCATCGGCGACACGCAAGGAGTGGCCCTGGGCAAGAAGGACCTTTCGTGCGCGGATTAATCCTGAGATCCTGGCCTCTCAATTTTTTCGAGCCGGGCGTTTTCGTTTTTTTTTTGGGCCCCGGGATCCTCACATATCGATCCGGATCGCAAAATGGAGCGGAAAGATGGGGTCTAGGGCTCCAGTCGTGATTTTTCATGGTGTTTCAATTTTGTCGAGACTTCGGATCTCAGAGAAAGGGGCGCAAGATGGCCAAATCCAAGCACGCAAGCAGTACTATCGCATCGCACTCAGCGATCGGGGGGGCCCCTGTGAGCCTGCGCCAATGGTCACTCCTGCGAAGGGTCACTCTTACGTGTAGTCGACCCCAATCCCTCAGAACTGGGCGTTGCCAAGAGACAGTGACTGCCGGTTTTTGCTTGTTTCTGGCCTCTGGGGGCCGTCTTCTGGCCCCAGGACCGCTAGGAAACGACCCAGGATGGAGCGCCAGCCCCGGGGCAAGGGTCGAGATCCCCAGGGGGCGACGCCACGAACAAAAAGGGCGACGTCGGAGGAGAGGGGTCCTCAAAACCCGAGTCGGGCCGACGTCTGCCAAAAACTTCGCCCAGCGAAGTGGGGGGAGCGGGATGGCGGGGGGGGGGGGCGAGAACAGGAGGGCACCAGCTATACATCACACTGAGATCCTGGCCAGGCCCCATCCTGGGCCGAGGATCGATACATAGGCCCTCCTGTTATGGCCAGGGGAAGCCCTGTGCACAGATCCTGAGCCCAGGAAGCGCCTGGCCAGGTCGGTGTAGCACTCGTCGCCCGAGACAAATCAATACAGAGGAGGAGGAGGAGGAGGAGGAGGAGGAGGAGGAGGAGGAGAGGAGGAGGAGGAGGAGGAGGAAGAGGAGGAGGAGGAGGAGGAGGAGGAAGAGGAGGAGGAGGATAGCTCAGCAGATTTGCCCCCAGGATTTCCAGGACGTGCCGCAGGACATCATCTCGTGTGCCTCACCGCCTTCTGTGCCCCCCAGGCGCGGTGGCGGCTCGGCGCGGCAGCGCAGCTGGTACATCTCTGCCCAGCCGAGTAAGACGAAGCCAGGACGAAGACAAATTCGTGCGAGGATAAATCGAGAATCTCTGAAATCAAGCGGCTCTGGAGGATGTCTCGGGCGCTACGGCCTTCTCGGAGCGTTCCAGAACGCTCTGAGGCGTTCCGGGACGCTCTGGAACGGATTTGTCCTCGTCCTGGCCCCATCCGACCGAGCTCCGTTTTCCTGAGGATTCTGGACATCAGACCTTCGTTCTCGTAGTGGCCACTGCCGAGAGCCTCACCGCCCAGGCCCTGAGTATGCGCTGCGATATCGTCCAGGCGGGCGGTGCTGTTGAGAAGCGGCTGGCGGAGCTTGTCGCTGACGTTCCCAGCGGATACGGTCATGACTATCTGCATTAAGCAATCCTCTTGGTTCACGGACGATGTATTGGGGCTGCGGCCAAGGGTTTTCAAGGGCGGAATGCTCAATCACAGCAACCTCGTCCTCCACCCCAACCCATTAGTTGCAAATAGAGTAGAGACGCTAATATCAGCAGACAGAAGCATGCTAGTAGCTTTAATGATTTCAAGCCTGCCAGTCAGTGAGCCCCTCCGCCTCCCCGACTGAACCATCCTTGAACATTCGAACTTACTTTCGATCAGCCCGTCCTCGTCCAGGCCATGGGAGGCTGCTGGCCTCAGCGTGGCGACGATTGCGAAGCAACATGTCCTCAAAACCAGGACCGCGGCCGTCGGCAACCGGTGCGTGGCCATCGCTTCAGATCAATGTATGCATATGGATACGGTGACTTTTGAAATATGTACCTACTTACCCCCGCGGCCGTCGCCCGCTGCAGTAGGTCTCACTGCGGTGGCTCGCGGGCTCGGAACGGCGGCGGTCGAATAGGCGACAGCGGTGATGCTGACGTGCCGCCCATCTGGATTTAGGTCGGGCATGTCCTCCTACAGGGGATTTTGGAAGAAAAGCATAGTCAACACATGCTCAAAATTAAAGGAAAAATTGTCCCCAGAGTATTTTTGGACTATTTTCGAATAGTCCTCCTGTGGAGGGACATGCCCGACTTAAATCCAGAACATCAAGTCAATAGAACGTAAGCACACACTCTCGGATGCCTGCGTGGGGTTCTCGAGTCGGCGCTGGGCCCCCCTCCCCGCATTCCCTGCCTGCCGCGCGGGACGGGTGGGGGGCAGCTCAGGGAGGGGAGCCCACCGCCCTACCCAAGAAACCCGCGTGAACCTTCGACAGTCTGTGTCCACTTTTTGCTCGAACCCAGAGGAGGCGAGAGATGTCATCGAACATGCTACAGTGCAGCGGTAAGCCACACCGACACGAACCACAACGCGGTGACTGGACGAGGGATCGTTCGATGACAAGCTCGGCGTCTCATGGCTGGAAGAATGGCAACTTCTCCAATAACAGAGGTTCTAGATCCGCCACCGTGACCCCTGCCACGTTGGGGCGTGCTAGAAGGCCAACTGCTGTCTGGTAGGGTCTCTGTAATCGTCTAAGGGTCCCAACTCTTTCAGGAAGCGCCCGGCTGCATGCATCGCCCCCTCCACCTGAGGCCAGGACCCTTCGCAACAAGCGACACAAGTGCACTCCCGAGGCCACAATCCCTCGTAACATACGAGCGCGTCGCGCTCCCGAAGCCAAGACGCCTCCAAGACGGCCCCAGGCGGCTCCAAGACGGCCCCCTGTGACCTCAAGACGGTCCCCAAAGCTTTCGAGACGCCCCGAACGAGCCCCAAGAGCCTTCCTAAGAGGGCCTCGAGAGGCAACACTATTTTTGCGACGGTTTGCCAACAACATGTTTTTGGGGCACTCGCCTTTTCGGGCTTCTGACGTCCTAGGACGGCCCAAGAGGCTCCGAAGAGAACCCCAAGACGGCCGAAGAGGCCCCCAAAAGGGCTCCAAGACGGCCTCAGAGGGCTCCAAGACGGCAGAAGAGTCGCCCAAGACTGCTCAAGATGGCCCCAGGACGGCCCCAAGAAGGGCCCACGATGGCCCCGAAACGGCCCAAGAGGGCGCCCAGGGGGACCAACACAGCCACAAGACGGCCCAAGCGAGTTCCATGAGGGCTCCCCAACTAGTGAAGACGATTAGGTGTTAAGTGTGACGGCCTTCCTCCTCCTCCTGCTCCTCCTCCTCCTCCACCTCCTCCTCCTCTTCCACATCATCACCACCATCATCATCACCACCACAATCATCACTACCATCATCTCCTGACGGCCTCCCATGCCGCCTCGTACCACCACCACCACCATCATCACCATCATCATCACCATCATCATCACCGTCGTTATCACCGTCATCATCACCATCATCATCGACATCAGCATTATAATCACCACCACCATCATCATCAACATCATCATCGTCGTCATCATCAGTACCATCACAATCATTATAATCACCTCCACCACCATCATCATCGTCGTCATCATCATCGGCATCATAATCATAATCATAATCATCATCATCCTCATCCTCATCCTCATCCTCATCCTCATCCTCATCCTCATCCTCATCATCATCAACATCATCATCATCATCATCATCATCATCATCATCATCATCATCATCGTCATCACCATCGTCCACGTCCGTCGTCGCCGTGCCTCGTCCACTCCTCGGGCCCGTACTGCCTGGCTGGAGTCGCTCTCTGGTGACCGGTGGCCGTCGCACCCGCGCGGAGGGGTACAAACACAACAAAGTGTGTTGGACCATCGGGAAGCCGTTGCGGTTGCACGGCGAGGTTGTGGCTCCCCGCCAGAGCCCAACAACGTGATGGTTCTTATGCCCTCTCATATTCCTGCAATACGCCACCGATTATTTCGTCATCACCATCGTCATCATCATCATCATCATCATCATCATCATCATCATCATCATCATCATCATCATCATCACCATCATCATCATCACCATCACCATCACCATCACCATCATCATCATCACCATCATCATCATCATCGTCGTCATCATCGTCATCACCATCATCATCATCATCAGCATCAACACTACCATCATCATGAGCAGCATCATCATCATCAGCATCAGCATCAATATCATCAGTATCATCGTCATCACCATCACTACCACCACCGCCATCATCATCATCATCATCACCACCATCATCACTATCACCATCACCACCACCATCATTATCACCATCGTCATCACCATCACCATCACCACCACCATCACCATCACCACCATCATCATCATCACCATCACCATCACCATCACCGTCACCATCACCATCATCATCATCATCATCATCATCACATCACATCATCATCATCATCATCATCATCATCACCATCACCATCATCATCATCATCATCATCATCATCATCATCATCATCATCATCATCATCATCATCATCATCATCATCATCATCATCATCATCATCATCATCATCTTCTTCTTCTTCATCATCATCTTCATCAACATCACGGCTTCCTCAAGCCTGGGGACATGAGGTGTCACACTTGACGGCCTCCGTGCCTCCTCGAACAATCGCCACCCATAATGCTGGGCTGGCACGGTGGCGGGACTTGCCGCAAACAACTGTGTATCTTTCTTCGAACGCCCGGTGAAGGAACCCGTGCCACCGACGTCGGTGGCTCATCATGCCCCCCCATCGTGAAATGTGTGAAACTGTTTGGGTTTTTTCCCGTCAGAGTGTTCCGTCGAGGTCATTTGGTAAAAGAACCATTGGATCAAGAAACAGGGTCTGGAAGCCGGTGGAGACCTATTCGTAAGTTGTCAATGGATATCACCGCCGCACTCGTCTGACCAAGCACCCTCCAAAATCTGATGCCTCTTGGGCACATTCGTATAGCAATTTCACCACGCAACGCAAGCGCCAAACAATCGTCCCACCCGTAAGTCGGACTACCGCCAAACGGACCGCACTGCCTCCAACATTGCGGAGCACGGCTGGAGAAAAGAAGTGAAACCTCAAGAGGTCCCCGACGGCCCCTGGATATCCCGTCCCAAAGCCTGAATCCTAGAATCTGGATCCTCGATGAGGGGAAGGAGAAGACACGTGGGGGAAGACAGATGGCCGATGGTGGAGCAATCGTGGGCCCTCTCCGCATCCGTCGTGATGCGGTGAGTGCACCCACTGGGATCTCGGCCACTCGTTTGGGCGCACACCGCTGTCTCCGGGGAGTCTGCTCCTGCTCCTCGCTTCTTCTTCTCCTCTTCCTCCGCCCCCCTCTCCTCCTCCTCCTCCTCCTCCTTCTCCTCCTCCTCCTACTCCTCCTCCTCCTCCTCCTCCTCGTCTTCGTCCTCCTCCTCGTCCTCCTCCTCCTCCTCCTCTTTCCGTGGGGCCCGCTGGCCCACTTGGGACGCCAAGAAGCCCCTCCCCTCCACCCGCACATCGCGCCTCCCTTGTCCTCACACCCCTCCTACTACTCCTCGCCCTGCTTCTCGCTTCTCGCTCCTCGTCGTCGTCGTCGTCCTCCTCCTCCTCCTCCTCCTCCTCCCGTCGATCCTACTCGTACTCTTCCTTGCTATTCGATGCTCGCACGCTCCACCCTGGCGCTGCGATAGTCCCCTCTCGCAAGCGAGGGGCTCCGCTCTGTAAGCCAAGAAACAATGGCTGCCAGCGTGGGCACCTCTTTGCACGTTCCTGCAATGCCGATGTGCAAGGTTGTGCAATATCCGCCACCCTACCACCTGGCATGTTGAGCAGTGGTCGGATGTCAAGTGCTTTCTGGCAAGGCTTCCTCGCCATCGCTCGGACGTCCATTCCCCGTGCACTGCTCGGTCTCGTGCGTTCAATTGTTCGCAAGAGGATCCAAAAGGCTCCTCTGTGGTCCTGGCCGAGAAACATGCACAGGTCCGAGCAATGCCCAGTTCCTGCACGTCCTATATAGAGCCCCCCCTCCTCGCCACGTCCACCTGCATGCACCCCCCCCTCCTCGCCCCCCCCCTTCTCGCCCTCCCCCCCCTCCTCGCCCCCCCCCCCCTCCTCGCCCCCCCCCCCCCCCCCCCCCCCCCCTCTCCTCGCCCCTCGCCCCCCTATAAAGAGCCCCCCCCCAGCCCATCCCGAGGCCTCCTGGGCGCCCCGACGCCTGCCCTGGCGCTCTCTCTGGGGCGTCCGGGACGGATGGCCCGATCGGACCTCCAGGGCGGCCCTGGCAAGCCACCAGGGCCGCACAGATGACCCAATCTGCCTCCAAGACAGCCCGAGATAGCTCCTACGACGGCCGAGGGTGGCCTCACGACGGCCTACCTAGGAGGCTCTCCAATACGGCCCAAGGGGGGCTCCAAGGGGACCCCCAGTGTGGCCCGACGGAATCAAAACCAACTTCCCTATTGGTTTTGAATCGTTCTGCGTTCTCGCCGTCTCGGGTTCCCGCTAGCCCATGACAGCCCAATAGGCGTCCA